CTTGCACCTTGACTAGGAATTAGTGGATGTGCATATACTTGGTTGAATTAGAAGTTTCTGATTGTATCATGTGATGCAAACCTAAGTGATGTTATGCTAAGGAAGAGTCATGGGGTGTTTGCTGAGACAGACCCACAAGGTATTTTGCTGAGGTAAGACCTGTGGGAGGACACATGATGTTTGGAAAGACTATAAATAGGACTCAATTGACAGTGATGGGGTACTTGCATAGCAAGCCTTGCAATGCTTTATTGGTCTTGAGTCTTTGCTGATCTTCACTTTGTTGAGAGAGGCACAACAGAGAACTACTGGCATCGTGTCTCATTGAGGTAGCTCCCAGTGACTTGTACCAATTCATTGGAAGCCTGACTGTTTCTGCTGCATTGTGCAACTGCTGCTGATTTTTTGGTATCCTGACAGTATTGAACTAACTGCTGGTATCCTGACAAAAGGAGATTGGAATCACACTAAAAAAACTACTTCTAAACAGGTCCACATCCCCTTGTCCTATTTACCATCCTTTCTGCCCTTCTTCTGGATTGTGGGCTAGAAGAGGGGTCAAAGTGTTTGAGAACCCGTGTTAAAAGTAGGTTTTAAAAAAATCTAAGCCTACTTATCTAAATCCTCTATTCAAATTTTTATCTCACTTCAGAACTCTAAAAATGGACTTGAGGGACTTACTGGATCTCTTTGTCCCCCTCCATTTCTCAGTATGACCACATTAAATTGTAGTCTGCTTTCTACTTTTAATTTGACTATTTTGCAGAAATGTCACCAGATATAACTTGGCACTAGTTGTGACTTCAGATTCACTGCTAGAAGTTAGTCTGGGACACAATAAAAATTTCCCCCTGAAGCTATTTAGAGACAGAGAAAGAAAAGAGAGAAATTACCTTGTCTATAGGATAAACTTCGCTTTTTGATCTTCCGTGTTACTAAGCCTTTCCAAATTCTTAAAGAAATAGGATAAACTTTCTAACATTTTTCCCTTGGGTATAATTGTGTCATAAGTCTATGATTTTTTTTATATTTTTGGTTATTTTCATATGTTGTTTGTGTCAAAAATTTTAACACACTATGATGACTTCAGTTCTCTTTTTAAATTCAGATTTGTTATGTGCTGAAATTATTCTTTTGACATGCACAATTAAAATGTATGTGCATATTAAATTTTAAATATTTTATCATGGATGTGGGAGGGAGGCTGGAATGCCCAGTCTGTCCCAGGTAGAGTTTCAGACCTGAAGGAAGATGTGTCTCCAGCAGGGTAGATAGGTCCTGTGTCTGCTGGGCTCTGTGAGGGTCCCAGCTAGGGAAGATATTGGGGTAGCGGTCTCACCTGTGACCCTGGTTATGACAGACCTCCTGGGAGTCAGACTGTCTCTGGGTGTGGAAGGGGGTCTGAAGTACCTAATCTACCCCAAGTGGAAACACTAAACCACAACACTACTGCTGATGCCAACATGTGCTTACATACAGGAGCCTGGCATGGCTGTCCTCTGTGAGCCACTGTCAGCACCTGACTAAGACAGATGCAGATACTCATAGCCAACTATTGGACTGAGAGCAGACACCTCTGTGAAAGGGTTAGAGGAAGGATTGAAGGAGCTGAAGGGGATGGCAACCCCATAGGAAGAACAACAGTGTCAACTAATAGAACCCCTCAGAGCTCCCAGGGACTAAGCCATCAACCAAAGAACATACATAAGCTGGTCGACGGCTTCCACTACATATGTAGCAGAGGATTGCCTTATCTATCCTCAGTGGGAAGGGATGCTGTTGGTCCTATGGAGATTTGATGCCCCAGAGAAGGGACATGCTAGAGGGGTGAGGCAGAAGTGGTTGAGTGGGTAGGGGAGCACCCTCATAGAGGCAAAGGGGATGGAGAATGGAGTGAGGAGTTCATGGAGGGGGCAGCACGAAGGAGGACATCATTTGAAATGTAAACAAATAAAATAATGAAAATAAATAAGTAGGCAGACTCTGCTGTGGCTTTTCATTGCTTTCTGCAGCCGTGATCAGCCCCACCATGTACTTTGACATCACTGCCGATGGCAAGCCCTTGGGCCATGTCTCCTTCGAGCTGTTTGCAGACAAAGTTCCAAAGACAGCAGAAAGCTTCCGTGCTCTGAGCACTGAAGAGAAAGGATTTGGCTGTAAGGGTTCCTCCTTTCACAGAATTATTCCAGGATTCATGTGCCAGGGTGGTGACTTCACAACCCATAATGGCACTGGTGGCAGGTCCATCTACGGAGAGAAATTTGAGGATGAGAACTTCATCCTGATGCATACAGGTCCTAGCATCTTGTCCACGGTAAATGCTGTACCAAACACAAATGGTTTCCAGGTTTTTATCTGCACTGCCAAGACTGAATGGCTCGATGGCAAGGTCTTTGGGAAGGTGAAAGAAGGTATGAACAGTGTGGAAGCCATGAAGCGTTTTGGGTTCAGGAATGGCAAGACCAGCAAGATCACTATTTCCGACTGTGAACAGCTCTAATTTCTTCTGACTTGAGGAGATTTTACCCTTCAAACCATTCCTTCTGTAGCTCAGGAGAACGCCCCAACCCCATCTACTCACAATACCCTGTAATGTCTGCTCTCACTGAAGTTCTTGGGGTTCCATATTTTCCTCATTCCCCTTCAAGTCTAGCTGGATTGCAAAGTTAAGTTTATGATTATGAATGAAAACTGAATAAGAACTGTTAAAAACAATAAATAAATAAATAAATAAATAAATAAATAAATATTTTATATAGTAAGTTGATCATATAGTAAGATTCATTATGTGATATGTATAATAAGTATACACTACTTTATAAATTTGAGTATGCTATCATCTCAACATATATTAAAATTATATCTTTGGGAATATTAAATGTTTCATAAATCTTTAATATTATATACATAGATTTACACAAGGCTTTCCTTCTAAAACAAATTCTAGTTTATATAATGTGTAACAGAAAATGCATATGATTTCTTCAAAATAAAAATATAAAACTGTTAAATGTAAGATTTTTTAAGGTTAGATTATATAAATTAATAGATTCATAAGTTTACTAAAGATCTCTACATTAAGTTTCCTTTTCACGATTAGGATTATAAAAATCATAATCCGGAAAAACAGTAACATTCAAAATCATGGTTTATTAAAATATACCTTACATGTGATTATGCATATAAACTGTCTATATTCAGTTATGGTTTATTTTTACATAATGTACCTATTCCTCCATCTCATATTCTTGCTGGGGTCAGTTCAGGTTTAACTAGAATTTAACCTCCTTGGTGGAGAATCCCATGGAAAATGCCCAGGTCTATTATAAGATCCAAGACCAAGACACCTCAGCTAACTTACTGTAGTTTCTGTTAACCAGCCTGCTTTGCAAACCTCCTTCTCCAGCTAACAGCCTATCTTAGCTTCTGTTAAACTGCTTGCTAGTGCAACCTACCCCTGCAGCTTCAGAGCAAAATACCAGAATGTAGAGTTTGGTTTTATAAGCCCTGTGTTCTAAATCAGTTGTTCTCAACCTTTGCAATGCCTTGACCCTTTAATACAGTTCCTCATATTGTGTTAATCCCTTACCATAACATTATTTTAATTGCTACATCATAATTGTACGTTTACTACTGTTATGAATCATAATGTAAATATCTCGGAATTTTTCCCCTGTGGTCTCGGATAATCTCTGTGAAAATGTCATTTAACTCCCCAAAGGGATTTTGAGCCACAGGTTGATAACCACTGCTCTAAATGTTCAGGACTACACTTGAATCTCAACGACCTGAGTAGGTGCAGCCAGGAGGAATAACTATTTTGAATTTATTGTAAAATGAGTGTGAGTGATCAGCTCAACGCTCCGTAAAACAAGTTCAGCTTCATTTTGGCTCATAGTGAACTGAAACTTTCAAAAAAAAAGATAATAGACAAAGGTATATGTAATTAATGTAACCACTTAGATTAAAAAAAATGAGATTGGTAATCCTCCTACATCTTGCTTTGGAACAATTAACATGAGTTTTTAAATCTAAAATATTTAAACCTTCTTTTAAGGACAAGACATACATAATCATACAACACTGGTCAAGATGTTATCGCCTTGATCCTTATCTGAATTCTGGTTCTACTCCATGGTCTCTATTAATTAAAGATATAAATTAACTTTAAGATATGATTATTCTTACTCCTGGGTAAGTTTTTCCTATTAGTAATTTCTCTCCCTTGAGATACCAAGCGCTTTATTTCAAAGATTAAATGGATAACTTATGTTAGCACATATATGTACACAAACATCTTAAGTAATATTTTTAAAAAATCACTATTGCCTCTTTAAAAATAAATAAACAAATGGAGTTTTCAATATTCTTATTTTATAAAGAAAGAGAGAGTAGAAGATACCCCTAAATAATTTTAAATTGTTATTTTGAAAACCTACTTTGAGGCTTTCCCAGAAATGTTAGCGTTTACATTATCATTGTAATGTGTTACACTACAGCGATATATTTTACATTATTCATCTTTTTTTCACTAAAAAATTATTATGGGTATAAACGCCAAACTTCATCCTGCTTTACATGCCTTATCTTACTTTCAGTTCCTTACTAACACTAATAAAAAGTAAATGTTTTTATAATAAAAAGATTTCAAGGTACGTACCTGTTATAATAATTTTAAAATCTTTTAAAAAATGAAAATTTGTTAAGAAGACAAAATCTATTAATGCACTTTACCTATGTTTGTGACTGTTATCTAAAATACCATGTACTATGTTTTTGTTTTAGATACAGCTAACTGAGCTTTCATTTAAAAGTATCTCATTAAAATTGTTTTCTAAATTTTGTAATGACAATCATAATGTTAAGATAAAGGTGTGTTATAAAATATTGCTTAATATCTATGTTGTACCTAAGCTAAAATAATACGTGGGTTAAAAAATTTTAAAGAGTAATTTAATGCCTTGAGATATAATGCCTGATTTTCTACAACATTTTCTTAACTATTGATATATTCTTAGTATTTTTTCACTAAATAGACATTTAAAACTTATGATTAAATTTTAATTTTTAAAATGTTTTTCCATTGGACAAAGATTTTGCTGCATAGATTGTCAGTCATTACTTTAAGCATAAAGAATATTCTGTTTAGTGAGTAATAATAACTTAAAATATTCCTAATAGACTACATAGTGATTGTAAAACTTATTCTTCTGGAGAAATATTTAAATCTGTGTATAAGATTTGTTCTATTAGAAAATAACACATGGTATTGTAAAAGACATTTAACTATTGATAACTAAAATTCAAAATTAGTTACACACTATTCTTCAAAGAACAACAAAAGATGATTTCATCAACTAAAAGAATATCGTATCAATGACTCCATTCTGATTCAAAGATCAGGATTGTCTCCAGGTACTTCTAATTCACTCTTAGGAGGTAGCAAACTTTCTCGCATCATCTAAGAGCATATTCATGTGGACTTTGAAAATGTTTCTTGAATATTATTGTTGTACTTAGATTTTTAAAAAGTTTATGACATCTACTATTCTACTTGGTATATTTATAAATGATGATATAATATTAGTCCTGGTTTTAATGAAGTTACAAATGGAAATATGTCATTTCATTTGATCATAGCTATTTGTTTGCTTACCCTAAACCTCTACCTAATTCAAAACTAAGATTCAAAAGATTCAAGTTTTTATTGTTTTTATATATATAAATATATATTATGTTATATTGTCGTCATTCAGGATAATTTAGATAAAACAAAAAACTATTTGCTAAATTAAACTATAAGTCTATTTACTCTAGTTACTCGAAGATTTGGATTAACTCTTATCCAAATTCTACAAAAGACATCAATGTCTAATAACAACATTTGTGGTGTTTTGTATTTTAGGTACTGATGTTTCTTGATTTAATTAGTATCTAAAATGTTTTATAGTACAACTATCCAAGATTAAGAATTCAATTAAACAATTTGTATTTTAATAATAACAAGAATACCACAGTGATTTATTTGAAAGTCCCATTTCTAACCATTTAAATATAAGCAAGATATTTCATTCAATACAAATAACTGTAAATACAGGTTACCTGTATTGTCAATCTTTTAAAAAATATGGAAATGTTTGGTGATTTTAGATATTGGTTTTATTTCTTACCTTCATTCCATTAGGCCAATTTCTTGACTACTTACTTTTAAGTATAATGATCTTATGTCACATTTAATTGCTATGTCAGATAGCATACAGAGGATGTAAGAATAATTGAGATCTGGAACATAATGGCAAATAGTTTTGATATGATCTAAGCCCTGTTTTTATTAATGGCTTTTGTCATCTATTCCCCCTTTTCTGGAGACTGCTGACCAGCCCACTGTGCAGCCTCATCGACATCACATCCTAGGAAGTTAGTCTTCCTAGATATAAGAGACCTTGCAATATTTAATAAATTGTACGTAGCCTCTGCATGCACAAACTTTGAAGCTTGACTAACAAGATGAACTATGAATGAACACTCCTGAGAAGAAGCTGTGTCCGGCTGTAAAAGAGGAATTCCTGAAAAGAAACTGTCTGCAGTGACTGATTAGCTGATTCAAATTTCAGAACTATAGAGAGACTGGAATGTTGCAGGTCCAGAGGCTAATTACTTTACCTTAGGCAAGTTCCATTCCTCCTGAAAATCAATCGATTCCTCTCTTTCATATGTATCTGAACTAGCATCTTGTGAGTGATGGAAACCTTTTGGAATCTACTAACTAAAAGACAACTAACTTCCACTAACCCTAAGCTAAGAATACCATCAGATAGTTTCTTGGGCCTATAAGAAAGTTCCTCCCATCTTGCTACTGTACCTGCCTCTCTGATGTTCCCGCCAACACATTTTAAAAACTTTGTGAAACTTCTTCCACACAGGAACATGGAATTTGGGGAAACCCAAGTTCCTGTTTCCAGGCCATGAACACTCAAAGTGGCTCCAAAATAAACTATCTTATTCCCTTAAATATTTTCTGTATTTTATGTATTTGTGTATTTTGCCTGCACGTATGTAATGACGATGTCTGGAATTAAACCCAGATCCTCTGCAGGAGCAACAAGTGCTTAATTGCTGAACTGTCTCTCCAGACCTTCACTTTTCTTTTTATTAATGTAACAGCATCATTACAAGTAAACCCTCGGGTCTCAAAATACTGGTAGTATACTGAGATAAAAGAAATCATCAAAATAATTGTGAAGGCATCTTATTTGTTTGTTTGTGTGCCTTAGAGAGAGTTTTGCACTGCAATGCAGACTGCCTTAGGACTTACTGTGCAGCAGAGGATGAGCTTGTAATCTTGGCAATCATCTTATCCTTTGTTTTTTTGGTTTTTGGTTTTTGGTTTTTGGTTTTTGGTTTTTCGAGACAGGGTTTCTCTGTGTAGCCCTGGCTGTCCTGGAACTCACTCTGTAGACCAGGCTAGCCTCAAACTCAGAAATCTGCCTGCCTCTGCCT